ATGAAAGCTATTGTTAATTTCACGCTTTTATGTCTAGCGGTTTAGGCTGTATAATAATGTTTTATTCAATCTTTGCATCCTTGTTTTTTATGATATTTGAAAAATAAGAAATTGGCTATTTTACTATTTTGTTTAAAGAGTATACATATGTACCAATTTATAAATAGTAAATATTATATGCATTAATTAATTTTCTTCATACAAATTTGAACATTTTATGGGCCCCAGTAAGACATTGTTTTGAAAAATCTCAAAATATATTCTTGTTTATTGTATTTACAGAGTACTTTCAGTAAGTCTAGAGTTAAACGCCCCGTAATATGGAAAGATCCATAAAACTATTTCTCCCTCTTAAGTGTGGTATTTTCCAAAACTCTTTCTAAGTGTTTACGTCTACGTCATAAAAGGCAGCTACTGTCTAAATTTCAGATTCTAAATTTTCCGAGTTGATAGAAGAGTCAAGTGACTTTTTATTAGAAAGGGTATTGTTGTTGGCCCTGCGACCTTTACAATTTCACTTATAGACGATAGACCTACGAGCTATCGAGAGCAACGATTCGGTGGTGGGGCGGCGTCGCCGACTGCAGTCCAGAGGCACCTCGGCTCCTGCTTTTGGTGTTAGAGGTGTTGATATTAGAGCTAGGAGAGGGGGCTCAATGTGATTCAAATGCCCCTCAGAAGGAGGTACTAATACTGACTTGAAATATGGAAAAACGGGTCGAAAAACTAAAAACGCCTTGTATCACGGTTATTGAACCTCGTGTACGGGGTGTGGCTGTGACCTCCTGGTGACGCAGTGTGTGTGTCTTAGTGTTCTGTCCTAGTATAGTGCCTGAATATGTGTGTGTGTGTGTGTGTGTGTGTGTGTGTGGAACCGTGTTATTAGATCAGATTTCCTCTATTATAGAGGGAGGTCAAGAAAGTGATCTTATCATCGGAATCAAGAAAAATGTTTTTGGGACGTATCCTGGAGGAGGGGGGCGGGGAGCGCAGCATCTTCATCTGGGAAGTTTGAACCCGCCTCTATCACCAATGAAATGGAATCGAAGTATCAGAAGGAAAATTCTTTAAGATACGAATGGGTGGTGGGCATGTTGAGGTCGCGGTGGAGATCCGCGTTTCTCATATAATGTGACTGGGTTGATTCGTCATAGAAATTTATTCCGAAGAACTTGATGTTGTCAACGTTGACGATTTGGGAAGGTGTGAGCAATGGAAACTCCCACGTATATCATAATGGGACTTACGCAGGTTTTATAAATGTGCAGTTTGTGTCTTAAGGACAGCTTACTGTGTTTACGGGTGCGAAAGCGATATATATTATAAATTTCGCATGCTTTTTAACATTTTTAATGTGATTAGTGAAGCTCGTCTCATTATCTAACATCCAGGTATTTCTCCTCTCTAACCCAATGGATTGGTAGATTGTACCTTTCCTGTGTCGTTTAAGTTTAAAGAGTAACTTTTTACAGCAAGCTTTCGGGTAATACATGGTAGCTTTGCTTTTGTCGGGATTTAATTCAATTCTCCATTTTGTGCACAAACGCCTAGTGCGTTTCCGAAACCTTGTAGTCGAATGCATATTGTTGTATCATCTGCATATAGTGCAAAATGAGTATCTTGTATCATGGGGATGTTGCCCACGTAGAGTGAGTATAAAGTCGGAGAGATCACAGAGCCCTGGAGGACTCCTGTTCTGATATCCTGTTCCGATCGTGAAGAGAAGGATTTATGACTTTGCCAAGCTTTATAGGCATACCTATATGGAAAAGTTTATAAACTAATCCATTATTTCAGGCATTGTTGAAGGCCTTAGCCACATCGAAGAACAGAGCAGCAGTATAAGCAGTGCGCTTGTTCGTTTGTGGCGTAATCTAAGACGTGCTGCGTGAAGCGGTGCAGCTGTTGAACATATGAGTCTTTGGCTCAAAAGCCAAACTGCTCGTTGGGAATCAAATTTTTGTCTATCACGACATCCTTCACACGGCTGAGGATGAAGCGCTAATAGATTTTCCCAACACCACTGAGGAGACTGATGGGTCGAAAATAGATGCCCTATCTCTGGGTTTGTTCAGTTTGTGAAAATCGATGATATTTGCTTCTATCCACGCGTCTGTGAAAGTGCAGGTGGATAATAGAACATTAAAGATAGTTACTAGAAGCAGATCAATTTGGAAGGTAAGGCTTGTTATTAATACCGTCAGCGAATGGCGCTTTCCGGGGTTTAAGATTCTTGATGATGGTCTTGACCTCATTGAAGGTAACGGGACGAAGAGGATCATCTGTTGTTGAAGTAACGGACACATTAGCCGCCTCGCCCACCTTATTCAGATGGACAGGGTCGACAGGCAGAGTGCTGCGAGAGCATAGGCTTTCAATGTTATCTGCCATGACTTCGACCTCTTTCGAGTCATCAAACGCGAACTTATCATCAGGTTTAACCAATGGTTCTACTTTTTTTAACTAATGGGACTAAGTGGTAGCATCAAAGTGATATTTTCTGACTTCAGAGCTTTCCTCAATCGCCAGAAGGCAATATATGAAGACGAGATGTCCTTTATCAGCCTGTCCTCCCGTGTATACCTCAGCTGAGTTATGCGCTCCTTGACCTCTCTAAAGAGGAGGTAAGTCGAATCTATTATTGGCGGTTTTATAATGGTCATAGGCCTTAACCTCAGCGTTTTTATCCTTCAGTAAAGTAAAGTAAAGTTACAGCCTATATACATCCCACTGCCGGGCACAGGCCTCCCCCTCATTTCTGAGAGGGTTTCAGTGCAAGGAAGTGTCGCTCCCCAATGCGTGTTGGCGAACTTCATAAATATTTTTTCTTATTCCCCAGACATGCAGATTTCCTCACGATTTTTTCCGTCACTGCCGAACACGAGGTAAATTAGCACTTAAAATTGTAATTAACAATTTCATTGGTGCCGGCGGGGATCGAAACGGGTTACTCGCGTTGTGTTATATTTACAGCGAGCGTTAACCATCTGAGCTACCACGGCTCTTTCTCCTTCAGTAGCCGCGTATATTCCTGAGGAGTTCAAAACGACGACGTTCGACGTTTGCCTTGACCTACCTCGAGCATTATCCGACGACTACCTTGATGTAAGATGTGAGATTGGTGATAGGTTCTAAAACCGTCTCCTTTGAGTTAATTAAATCTGGTATCTGATCTATGTGTTCAAAGTTCATAGATTCGAGAATAACCATGAGTATACGCTAGACTTTCACAGTTTTGGTTGGAAGAACCTCACTGCTGGGCTATTCCAAAGTCATGAGGGCCTGACGGTTGTTTAATCCTAACTCGTGCATCGCTTCAATAGAACGTGCCGGCAAGGACACTTCCTGAAGAGAGTTAAGTCAATTCTATAAGAGCTGTGAGAAATATTAATTGAATATATCTGGTATAATTAGGGGGAGCTGTTGTATAAAAGTTGAAGTAATCGCTGAGAGCTAGTAGGTATAGACGTACAAATTGATATAATGCTTATAAAAATTCCTGTGTTATAGACCACAGGCAATTTTCATAAGCATTATGTCAGACTTTATGCTGGCTATTTAAATCGCTTGCTAAAATAACCAAGCGATGTTTGTACACCCGGGAAATTTTAATTAATGTGACATAAATCTACATTTCTATCATGTCTTCTTCAATAAATTAATATTATTAGCAATTTCAATCGATCTAGTTTTTAAGGTATTTAAAATAAGTTGTTATAATGTGTCCGGTTTCGTAGTAATAAAACTTTAAGGCCGGTTTATACACTTTATTTTATCGATAAATAAACCCTCAAAGATAGATCAATTTTAGTATCTGACTTACCTATTTTGATATCCACAAAGTCCACCAACTATCGTCGATTGAGAATCAAAATTCAGATGCATTGTTAGCCTTGAGGACTAAGAAAGAATGACCTCGTTTCCAGTGAGAAGGGTCTCCCGTAAGTGTAGAGACTCATCACTCGAAACACAGCAACATTAAACTATTATTTTAGGCCAGTATTCTGTAAGAGCGTGGTTCTAAACCTTTTTACGGATTTAAAGCATTTAATTTTCCTGAAACCTAAACTCAAGCAAGAGTTTAGTTTCACAGTACTAATTTACTGTGTCCACTGCAAGACACAGTAAATTAGTACTATTAAACTCGATAAATCCGTAACAGTAGATTTATTCAATGTGTAGTTTTGACGTAAATATAAGAAATCATTATTTATAAATTCATTTAATAATTTATATAATAAGAATAAAAATATATAATTGTGAATAAAATTCGTAGATATAAAAATATATATAATATTTTCATAAATAATGAATATTTACGATAAAATCAAATAAATATAATAAATATTAAACTCGTGTTTTGAACAAAACTGTTTTACTTCATTGATTCTAAAGACTTATGGCATGTACAGAGAATGAAAGGAAATGGTGACTAAGCAAGCTATGAAGGATGAGAATTTAAGAGAGTTGGTGAAATCTTAATGTTGCAAATCGATTTCGGCTGTACGAAGAGAAGTTTGAGCTATGTACAATGTTAAAACATGACAAATTATTTGTGAGTTTTATTTTCTTTTGAATATTAAGAGAGTGTTTAGGTGAGATTTACAAGCTGTATATCGATTACAGAGGAATAAATGGAAGTTTGGGCTCTGTGAAATGTTAAAACAAAAACAAACGTTCTGCCTGTATCAAATATTTTCAAAAAAGTGTAAACAGATACGGGTAGAAATTTGACTTACTAATTTGCCTGTCTACCTTTCATATCTACTATACAATATTTGCACTTTGAGACAAAATTCACAAATTTATATTAAAACGCAAATAGAATAAAATAATAATAACAAGATTGAGAATCTCTGACGACGAATAAGTAATCATTTTAAAAATTATAATTAAGTAAAACTAGACATAAGAATAACTTAAAAAAAAGAAGACATAATTGGGGTATAAATAGGCATCGAACTTTAAAGTGTTTTAGTTCCTCGATTGGTTATAACACAATGCGGAGAATTTTGGTACGTATTAAGTCACCTTAGTGATATTCGTTATTGATGAGGGTTACATAGTTAATTTTAATATGTTATAGTGGTAAAAATTCAGCCGTAATTCGTAAAATTTTAGATTTGTGTAGTAACTAAGCTTTAACTTTCAACTGCACATCATATATAAACACGGATATTTCATATAGAAATTATAAAATTAATGTCTTTTTTGCCTCTTAAGTCTAAAACTTAGTGATGATATACACTCTTGGTACTTTTTCTGAGAAAAATGGGCAGTAAACAAACGACAATTTGTCCAAGACATAGATTTAGTATAAACTGACGTTAGAATAGATTGGCAATGCAGATAATAAAGAGCCCAGTGTATGCGTATGTTAGAGCAAGAAAGATAGGCTAGAACATTCACGTAGCCCATACATACGTCCTGTATTGGCCTGGCGTCATTCGTCAACGAAACAAATCTTGCTTGCATTTGCAAAATCTTAGATTTTAACGAAAAAATTAGCATTTTATATACGTTATTAATTAAGACTACGTGTAAAGTATCTAAATATAAATCACTTCAGAAAAAAACGGTCATTACTTTACATTTAACCTATGTGTTCGGTTAAAATGTTTAGCTGTCTAAATGCTTTGTTTTGAGCAGGTACAAACAATTTGTACTTACGTGGATAAGAAATATTATCATATTTTATTATAATAATCATCAGAATATAAAGATCATAAATTATTTTAACCTCACTTTTGCAAAGATTGACATTATTGATTATATCTTAACATGCAAAGGCATGCCTTGCAAGAAGCCTTATTCAACTTAGTAATATATTTAATTTTTAGGTTTCTGTATCTAAATATTCTTCTGAAATCGTATGAATTATATTTTTTTAAATAGACTTAGTGTGTCAAACGAGCACATAGTTTACCTGATGGTAAGTGAATGTTTGGCAAATTTTTACTCTGGTCTGGAAAAACACGTCTGGGTGTAACAGGTGAACTGATTAGAAGCTTATGGCACTGATATTTTTCAAACTTTTTTTAAATCTATTAACTAAGTAGGTACGTATTACTTTCATTCCGATAGTTTTTAATTGATTTATTTATTTTGTTCAAAAATGTTGTTATTATTTTTCAGTACCGAAAGTTTATTTTAAATAACTAGGTTTTATTCAGAGATCAATTTCAAATTTAGCAAGGATGGGACATATGATAAGGATGTATCGATATATTTTAAGATCAGTGTTTCTTTTGAATTTAATATTAATAATTTTGAAGTTTGTGTATGGAATAAATGCTAGGACCCCATTTCTGTCCGGGAGGTCGTCTGAGTCGGCGTCTTATCACCTTCTTACCTAACTACCGGTATAAATGCTGGCTGTAAGGCATTCCATTCCAGTCCGTAAAGGTGAAAACCAGCTTTTTGTTTTGAAGTTAGCTGCAAGTTTCCGTGGGCTGTAGTAGCCACTTGTCGTCGTCAGGTGGACTTTAAGTTAGTTGGATACTTCAGTTTTATAATTTTTTTAACTATTTAAAAAACTTTAACTATTTAAAAAAAACTTTAAATCCTAATATGGTTAACATTTTTTGTATCATCAATGTTGGAAATATTCCGAATTTTACCTATTATTTGATGCCTAGGCACGATATTTCATTATTTACTTAATTATATGTACGCAATAAGCCGCCGTAATATTTAAACTTTTATGTAACTTCATGCAACCTAAAACTCGCGAATGGCACAATGCTTTTAAAGATATATAATTTGTCAAAATACGATGAGTAGTTTAGAAGGTCTAAGTGATAGATACATATACATACATGCATAACCTTCTAAAATTGTAACCATTCATTTGGCTTCACCTTGGGTAAAACTAACTACTTACGTCTTCTGCGCCATACCAGAAGACATAAATATACTGCAATCGGTATCGATAATTGAAGTTAAGATAGTCAATGCTTGGTGCATCTCTATTTATCATCCACACAAGCACATTACACGCAGACTGGTGTATTTTGATTTTGATCCCGCCCTAATCTCTCAATCCAATCTTTACTATACTATATCTATGGTCCATTTTACCGTTTATTTACAGTGTATGTATTTGATATTAGCAGTATGAACGTAAAATGTATGTTTTATTTAGTTTAATGTACTTCTAATACACATTATAAATAAATGTTAACTTTCTGCATACCTATGTAATACGTGGTAGAGCCATGCTGCAGTTATATTAGTAGTATAGTTGTAGCACGAATGGGTCGGCTCGACCGATGAAGGACCACGCTCTTACAGAATACCAGCGTAAAATAGTATAATGCTGCTGTGTTTCGTATGGTGAGTGTAGAGAACCGGCGACCTTTTTTACTGTAAACGAGGTATTCCATCTTAGTCCTCACGGGTGACTACGCATATCTGAATTTTGATTTGTAATCGAGGATAGATGTAGATGTCTATGGGCCACAGCAACCACTTACTATCAGGTGGTCTGTGTGCTCATTTGTCACCCTATCCAAAAGAAAAGACCTTTCCTATAAAACTTTAACTATGCCAAATCTGACGCTCCTCAGTGGAGGGATTATGTCGTTAACTATATAAAATATACAAACGTGCCGGTTGAGGCAAATTCTCTCTGTGACGGGAAAGGACCATGTTCAGCAGGGTGATGACGAAGGTGTATGACAATATGATAACTGTTACTAAAATTACAATATTGTAAGATAATATTTATAAAAAAATAATTTTATAAAATTAATCAATAAAGCATGTTAATTTGGGTTTATAGGTGCTGTGCTTATCTGTGGCGCTTGCTTCGGCAGCTGAAATTGATACTACTAAGTGAGTAATGCTCCTTGATTCTATGTCTATTAAAATTATGTTATTGGTCATGACTTGACCTGCCTTATTTACCTATAATTATTAACTAATAGTGGCCTTTTAGACTAAGTATACTGTAAGACTGTTTTGGGTAACATCAATGTAATTGTATTTGAATAATATTTACAGCCCAGGGCTTGGTTTCTACAGTACCATCTCTCAAGATGCAAACGCTAGGAAAGCTGATGACAGTGGAAAATACATTCCAGACAACAGTGGTGCTTACAAGTGAGTTCTTAGATTAGTTATAAATTAGATGATATACTGTTTTGTGGTGGTGTAAGAAGAAACCGCGTGGGAGTAAGAGTCTTAACATTTGACTAAGGAAAATGACGATTAAATTAAATGAGAAACTTATTTCTATTATTATAAAATCCTGATACTATATTCGCTCGCCAACATTCCACTGCTATAATAGTGACGATGAAGAAGAGATACACGTAGAAATTCTATATAAATCAATAAAGAATTTTGCGTGTTATAGGGGTAGTTAATCTTATTATAATAAATATTCAGAAAATAAGATGTATTTTCTGAATACTTATTATACTTAGGTATCTTTGATGCTATTTTCGAGTTGAAAGCTTAAGTTTAAGTGAAAAGTTATAAAATCCTGAAATTTGCCCATGTGAGGAATCCTGAGCTCAGCAGTAGTACGTATATAGGTTGTAACTTTTATGTTTCATACACATAAATATTACCTTAACAAAATATATAATCAACTAATTAAAATGTAAGAGCCGTGATAGCTTCGGGGCTAAGCGCCACCCGTATATTATTTAAATGTACGCGAACGACCCGGGTTTGATCCCAGCTGCTGCTAATGAAATTGTTCAATGCAATTTTACGTGCGGATTTATCACGTGTTCGGTGTTGAAGGAAAACATCATAAGGAAACCTAAATGTATGAGAAATAAAAGAAATCATATTTTAAAAACATGTATAGTTATCCAACACGCATTGGGGCAGATTGGCGGACATTTATTTGAAACCTTCTCAGAAATGAGAATAGAATATAATAGAATCATTTTAATTCAACATCTATTAGGTGTAATTCTTATTGAAACTCATTTTGTACTTTAACCACTGGTTCGGAAAAAACCTCTGTCATGAGAAGAATCAGATAGAAACCCGGCGGGTCTCTTTTTTTAAAGCAGAATTTACAATATAATATTTATACAATTGTTACTAACACATTATAGAAACAGCATAGTTACGATCACCTCATTCCCAGGTTTATTATTATCGATCATGTACTCTTTCATAGTATAATGACCCTTACTGTACAATTTTTAAAAACCTTTTGATAGACGAAGCCTGCATATCTTTCGAAACTTTGTTATAAAATCGTATACGTTGCTCCATAAAGGAATTAGATTGAGGCTAATATCATTTGAATTATATTTACAGCCCAGCTCTAGACTTCTACGGTACCACCGCTCAAGGCACGACTGTTAACAAAGCTGATGACAGTGGAAAATACACTCCAGACAATAGTGGCGATTACAAGTGAGTTCATAGATTAGTTATAAATTAGATGAACTACCGTGTGATGGTGTTATAAGAATTTACTGCATGGGAATTAGAGTATTAACATTTGACTTAGGAAAATGTCACGACGATTTCGAAGTTTCCGATGTATACTTGTTGAATTAACTCGTAAATAAGAAAATTTAAAACGACCCGAGATAAAATAGCATTGGAAAGCACCGTCGTAGCGACAAGATGGTGTATGCTGATTAAAGCATATGAGAGGTTTATTCTTTTATTATAGCAATGTAATATGTACGGGTTGGTAAGGTAGTAAGTCGCAAATAATAGAACATTATTCACTTAGAGTTATGCTCTGTTATTTTTCGCATTTTAAGACTAATTTATTGCTAATGATTTATTAATATTTATTTAATAATTACAGACCAACACTATCGCAGCTCGACACAACTACATCGAGATACAATTTTGCATCCTCTACGCCTGCGCCTTTCGGATCTTACTATCCTAATCATTACTACCCCGGTGCATATAACAACTTCGGAAGATACGACAACAACGGAAGATACAATTATTTTGGAAGATACGACAATAACGGAAGATATGACAACAACGGGAGATACAACAATTTTGGAAGATACGATAACTTTGGCAGATACGACAACTACGGAAGATACGACAACCTTGGAAGATACGACAACCTTGGAAGATACGACAACCTTGGAAGATACGACAACCTTGGAAGATACGACAACCTTGGAAGATACGACAACCTTGGTAGATACGACAATCTTGGAAGATACAACAACTTTGGAAGATACGACAACTTTGGAGGATACGACAACTTTGGAAGATATACTTTCGATAACTCTGGAAGATATCATCCCGGTCCATATTATGCTGGTCACTACGACAATTTTGGGCGCTATGTTCCTCAAAACTCAGGATTTTATAAGTATATTTTTTATGATTCAACATAATGCTTAAATATCTATATTCTTCTTAGATAAATACTTTTTTTTAGATATTACTGGCCAATAGCTTTTTCAAGTTGTGCTGTATAGCATATCTTTCTTGAATAATTTACTCATGCTATACAGCCGAGTGGGATCGAAACTTTTGAGCTGGATTAGCTGATGTGTAGTTGCATGACCTACTCCTCATCACTAGTCTATAAGATATTAGATTATTTCGTTGCAGCATATTTTCACTCCACCATTAATCAAATAGATGTGTTTCAGAAGGAAATTTAGGGAACAATAGTTAAAATGATTTCCTTTACATCTTATTCTTTTAGTATTAAATATTGATAAATAAGTAAGCATTAGATTATTGTGTTTACTAAATTAGATACAATATCATTTTGAACGGAAATTTTATGTGTTGATGTGATTGTGATGATGATGATGTTTGTGATGAGTGATGATGTGTTTGTCAGAGAAGAAAAACTTCTTGAGGAAAAATACATGTCTGAGAATAAAAAAAATGTTTTGAACATATGTGGAGTCCGCTAATACGTATCGGGGTAGGATGGCCTCTTTGAAGTGAGATGATCTGTGCCCTGCACGTATAGGACGTACATATAGGTTTTAATTTTACTTTTTATACATAATTCAATATTACTTTAATAAAATATAGAAGCAAATAAATAAGATGTAAGAACTATGGTAGCTCAATAGCTAAGCGCTCGCCGTAACTTTCAGAGTACGCGACCAGCCTGGGTTCAATCCCCGTCGGCGCCAATAAAATTGTTAACTGTAATTTTAAATCTTGTTTTACTACCACATTCTCAGCGATGAAATAAAGCATCATGAGTAAACCTGCATGTCCGAAAAATAAGTAAAAATATTTCAAAGACATATGTAATTCGTCTACACGCATTGGGGCAGCGTGGCAGACATTTCCTTGTGCTAAAATGCTCTAAGAAATTATGGGAGGCCTGTTCCAGCAGTAGGACGTAAATAGGCTGTAACTTTTAACTTTTAAATAAGATGTAATAAATGTTAACAACTACTTTATTAAATCTTAAAACACCACTTATACTAACATTTCAATGGTGTTGATGTTTTTTTTTTTCTAAATTACAAACATAGGAGACAACGTAGTAGTCGTTCATTTACCTGGGTCAAGTTTTACGTACAATATTAGCTAATCGTAAACTTCTAGACTATGTATACTGCAAAAGTGTTTTAGGTAACGCAATCTAATTGCATTTGAATAATATTTACAGCCCAGCGCAAGGCTTCTACGGTACCACCACCCAAGGCGTTAACGTGAACAAAGCAGATGACAGTGGAAAATACACTCCAGACAAGAGTGGTGATTACAAGTAAGTTCATAGATAGATCGTAAATAAGTTACACTACTGGTGGTGATGTACAAGAATACCACGTAGGAGTTAGGGTTTTAAGATTTGACTAACGAAAATGCTACGACGGTTTTGAATGTGTGATTAAAGCAAATGAGATGTTTATTCTATTGTTATAGCAATGGAGTGTTTGCGGTCAGGTAAGGATGAGAAAGAAATAACCAAGGAAATTCTTTACAAATAGAAAATTTCACAATACATTCAAAGTCATAAAGTCAATCGTCATCATTACCATCGTCACAGCTCTTCACAAGTCCACTGCTGAACGTAAGCCTCCCCCAATAAATGCTACAAAGCATAACCCTGAGCTAACTGAATCCATCAACTTCCTGCATTTGTTGCCAGGTCGTCACTCTATCTCCGTAGGGACTCGCCCTACACTTCGCCTACCGGTATGAGGCTACCACTCAAGAAATTTTCTTCGCCAACGGTTGTCGGTTCTTCGAGCTACATGGCCAGCTCATTTCCATTTCAGCTTACAAATCCATTTGGCTATGTCGGTTACAATGTGTAGCGGCGCTGTCGTCGCGCCACAATCGAAATAAACGAAGTCGTTAGAAAGTGCGGGGCGGGAGATCTCCCTTTTTACCACGGCAAATGTTCTGTACATATCCTCATTTCTAACTTTAAAATAAACCCCGAGCAAAGTCCTCTCCATAGCTCGCTGAGCTACCTTGAGCCTTCTCATACGGCCTTTAAAAGCCCACGTCTCGAATCCATAAGTCATCACTGGCAACACGCACTCGTAGTACATATGACCTTTGTTTTGTCCATGTTCACTTAAGACCTATCCGTAGAGAGATTATTATATATTGATATATTGATTATATATTGAGGTAATTGAGCATATTGCTTAGGTCTTTCAGCGATTCTGCTACAAGGACTATAACGTCGACAAATCAAAGGTAAGTGATGAACTCGCAATTGATGTTAATATCGTATCATTTCTAGTCAATTAGCTTAAAAACGTCTTCTAAAGCAGTGATAAAGAGTTTTGGGGTTTTAACGTCATCCGGTTTTACACCTTTCTGCAGAGTGATGAGTTTCGTACTATGGTACAGAACCATACACGGATAGTCACCGTTATCATACTATACAAACACTTCAGCACTTCGATATACCGACAGTCAACTTAGCACCACTGAAGGGACTGTATTATCGCCCAAATTAAGACAGAGTCGAAGGCTTTTTCACAGTCAAGTTACGTAAGGAAAAGTGGCAGCTTTTACTCCTTGGTTTTTGTACGATTTTCCGAAGTACATGCTTGTGGTCTATGGTTCTAAAGCCTTTTCGGAAACGAGCTTGTTCGGGAGTCTGAAAGTCATCTAGTCAGCGTACGAGACGATTCGTAATGACTCTTAAAAACAGCACGTAGACGCGGCTCATAAGGGAAATCGGTTTGTAATTCTTCAAGAGAGCGTTGTCGCCTTTCTTGAAGAACAAGACCACTAGAATTGTGCTGCACGCCCTAAGAATAGTCTCACCATGGAGGACGGACACACATTAAAGAGCTTCTGAAGGACTTCAAATACCAGTTTTCCACGCGCTTTTAGAAGCTCCAATTTAGTTCCATTCTTGCCTCGGCCTTTGTTGTTTTAAGCTGCTAGAGAGCCATTCTAATCTCGCTCAGACTAACGCCCGGGATATTATCGGAATAGCATCGGACAAGAATTGCTGTTGGATCGTTACTCACACTTGCATGTGTCTCAAACGATGACGTGTACAGCTGCCCATAGAACCAATTTCAATCTCACTCAAAATCTCAGGTGTCCCGGAAACGATGCTGCCACATTCGATTTTCAGCTTAGACAGTTGGCTTTTCCTTGTAGACAGATTTCTGGCACAAGATTTGGAGTCCTAGTTTTGCTCGATTGCTTCTTCAATAAGAGCTGTGTTTAAATTGCGTAAGTCCCGCCGCAAGCATGTGGAGATCAGTCTGTTCAGTTGTGTTTCTTTTTGTATGCATTTTTCATTTGCATCATATATCTACACGTAACTTACAGTTTGTTACATTATTTACTACCTATGGATTGATTACATTAACTTAGATTTCACATTAAAAACCGAATTACGTGAACATGATGAAAAATTGTATTTTTTTGCAGCGTAAATCGCGGTAGTGCAGATGGTGCAAACGCAGCGGAAAAAGTTGAAACTGCGACACCAGCGTTGAGCACTGCCTGAAAAGTAAAACCGAAGATCTTTTAATTTTTCGTAAAATGGTTCTTATTACCTAATTCATTAACAGGCTCTTGTATGAAAAAAATATTATAAATCGATTTTGCTTCAAACTCTAAGGTATTGAAGATTAAACGTAACCAACTTAAAAAATCAAAAAGTTTATTGATATGAAAAGCAGAAAGCAAGAAATTATGATTATTATGTGTAACAAATTTATTATATGAAATAAAATAAAACGTACAGTATTTACATTCATACTACCAATGTCGAATATAGTTGTTTAATTCCAAACTCCACAAATAATGAATAGAGGTTAACAACTCAGGAAATGAAATGACTGCGTCGATGCCTACGTGAGCAAATAATGTAATTTTCTGAATAGGGCTTATAATAATAATGTCCTCCAGGCCAATTACGGTCACGGCGGCTGGTCTCAACGGAGACGCTATCTGCGTTGAACAGGAATATAGTGCCCTAATGTAAGTGTCACAGGCCCACTCTCTGTTCCTCACACTGGGATACGATGGGACTGTAATCCGACACCACCGGAGAAAGATCGGGTTCAGGACCAACGGTTTTACGTGCTTTCTCAAATTCAGATTTTTTTTTACATTTTCTGTATACCCAATAACTGATGATTTTGGCTCGATCCAGGGATTTGAACCAGGGACCTCATGATCAGCAATCGCGTTTACGGCCACTAGACCAACGAGGCAGTCAATGTCAAAGCATACGCAATTTAAAAACTAGTAGTGAATCTGGTGATACAGTATATCGCCCACCACAATCAAAACGAAAAATTTTAAAAAATAAAAAAAATACATCCATATCTATTCATTATAAATCTTTTGAATAACATAGTGTGGCGGCCCAATATTATTATTAATAATTAAATTCAATATAAAGGGGCATCAAAAATAGTCTAAAAAGATATATATCAAACAATAAAATTACATTAATAAGCATAAAGTTAAAAACAAATACATTTCAGACATTAAGTATTTATAGTAGATTTAAGGCAAAATATTGTCTTTTAGAACAAAAAAGTTATTAAAAATCTTGTAAAAATATTTAAAATATGATAAATAATAGAAATAAAAGTCTAAAATATTATAAAAATAAAGATAAATAACATTTATAATATGATTAGAAAATTGGTTAAAATTGTCTAAGTCTTGGAAGGAGTTCACGTATATATATGTGGGCTTGTATGGTGGAGCTGCCGGAGACACGTACTCAATGTTGTACATATATATGGGGTGGTCGGGTGCCCGACTGCTTAAAGTACTGTAGCACAATGACTAGTCCTATAATAGGGACTTATGATAGTAAACTCTATTATACAAAAGCAATACTATAAAGTCTCTATGATGAATTTACATTACAATAGTAGGGTCGTGGGTTGAAGTCCTATATATTAATGACTTATGAAAGTTATGTCTATGATACCAAAGCAATACTATAGAAGGTCTCTATGATGAAATTGCATTACAGTAGTAGGGTATGTAGGGTGTATATGTATGTGTAATGAATTAGTGTACCTGTATACGTATAATAGGTGTAGATAGGTTGGTATTCAAGAATGGAAAAAAGTAAGACTATTTACAAAAAGAAATGAGATGCCATCAAAAACAAAACTGGTAAAAAAAACAAGTCTCGCACTTCAGTTGTTATACCTTAAAAAGTTGTGCGATCCATGTAATACCAAGTCAGTTAATTTATTCAGTCCCTACAAAGGGTCCATCTGTTTTAAGACTATTACATAATTAGCTAACCTAAAAACATCTTATAGTGACGTCACTATAAGATGTTGTGATCTTTTATGTTTTAAATAAATAGATTGATTTGGAAATCGCACTAAACAATTAGATTTTTGAGTTGACTTGTGAGATGCATTGTGTTTTCATGCGATGGCCAAGTCAATCTTTTTATTTAAAACATTAAATATTTTTAACATGCAGTAGAACAACTGAGTTGCAAGACTTTTTTACAGGTTATGCTTTTGATGTAATTCTACTTTTTCTTTTATACTTCTCAAGAAATTTTTGCTGCAAATTGTTTAGTTCTTGTTTGGGTTCAAACCAGCCCACCCACTTAATCAAGGACGGAGGAAATCTGTTTGACAAAGAAATAAAATTACATTTTTAAAACACAAACCGAGCATTAATTGTAATTCCTCTTCTTGTTGTGTTTTATTTTATTTATTTATTTATTTATTTATTTATTTTTAATATATTATTACATTTATTAATTACACATTACTTTACGGTACAATCATAAGTTTATAGAAACTTTACCGTGTACTGGTATCACCGACAATAACAAATATGAGGGTGTAGTAAGAAAAAAAGAAGTACACTTAGTATTTCGTGAGTGCGTGACCCTCTATTGCATAATTCACCGCGCATGGATCTTATGCATTATCTTATGTATTTTTTTATTGTATGATTAATATAAACATTCAAGATAAATATCGAGTTTAATTTTGATATAGTTGAGTCAATCCCTAGCGTACATGTAAAATATTTTGTAAAAATTGTATTTAACAAATTCATGCAAATTATCAAGAACGTGACTTTTTTGTTTACAAAATATCAAAATTAATAGAATATTTAAAAACATTATATATAATAAGCAGTCGATGTCTTAAGAATTTACCTGAAAAATGTGTAATTATCAGAATTATTTCTATTATTAACACCACAGTCACAGAACAAGTAACCATTTTGGAAAACAATTAACTACTGCTAATAATAACCATTATACTCTCAAAAAATAAAAAATATCTAGGAGCTTATATATTGCGTGCCGACTTGTGCCAACCTGTCATTCAAAATCGGTTACTACGTCATGAGATATGCTTTCCTTTTCTATTTTGCTATATTGTGATAAGGAATTTTCTTCTCACTTGCACACTACTTTCGTCTATTCCTAGTCTATGTTTTGGAGTAATTTGCTCTGTTATTACGTTTGAACTCGGTGCAATATTAGCAATCGTCAATGGCAAGGTGGCAAGGCAATACATATATCCAACATGATTGCGTAGAGGCTGATAAGTTAAGTGGTGATGATATTATGACATTAAGTGAAACCTCGTAGTCCGTACCTCTGGACTCCACTGTGTTGATATATTTTGTTGGTTATTTCAAAAAATGATATTCCATGCATATTGACTGCGTAGGTATCGCACTTATGTAGGAAACATCAGATTTTTTAATAACTGACAAAAATGTTAAGGCAGGAGGATCCAGAATTATTAAGTAAATATGTGATTTAAAAGAATGTCAATTGTCGTGTTCCACCTTGTATAATGTATACAAATGGTCATGCAAAGAATATGTCAAAATCAGACATTTTCAAATTTTGTCGAGATATTTTGGTCTTCTGATCTGGCATTCTTATCCCTTGTCAATTTCATCAGATCAAAGGCCGAGCTTCGTGTTCATAAAATATGACAAAAGTTTAATTTATTTTCATGTACATTTATTTAACCTTTAAATCGCTATAATGAAGATATAACTGATTAAAAATTTATCAAGTAATTTAAAAGTACAAACACACAGATAATCGCCGATAAACACTTAACGGTATAAAATATTTAGAAAGAAAACAGTAGAAAGGTGTATATATATATATATATATATATATATATATATATATATATATATATAACGAAAAATCACATTTAATTTCCGTTTCGTTAAAACTAGTAAACATAATAAATTATCGATACAAAATAGTTGTGTCACGTAACTGACTCGCATTCGACTCCTGCGGCCATGTTCTAGGAAATTTACGTAAGCAACAATTTTGTTTATTGCCCATACTATAAATCCACGCTGATTTTAGCTGTTATCATAGACATGAACTAGCTTAGGAATCAATGAATATTGAAATGTGAAAACAATTAAAATTTCGGAGACAATCGTAGTACTGGTGGATAATTTTATTTAAGTATATTTCATTAAACACAACGTTATTTAAAACACTAAGTACTTGTTTATGAAATGTTATCACTTTATTTGAAAATTTTTACGTCTCTGCGTCCTAAACAGTACTGATGATTGAAACAAACGCTCCTCGCGCGCTTGTGGCCTACGAGTCACATGTGCGGCGACAAGGTCACGCGCTTTTACGACTTCTATTTATATTTAGATTTCTGTGGTTGACTTCAATTAAAATTTACAATCATCTGCATGTTGAAAAATATCGGTAAGATAGGAAACTTAACATCTACATTAGTAATTACTAGCTTCTGCCTGCGACTTCGTCAGCGAGAAATTTATTGTTCCTTCGGCCCATATCCTAGGCTATAGCATTTCTAAAGAATTGGGCTATCTAATCAAAAATATTTTTTTAGATCCGACTGGTAGTTCCATATATTACCCCTTTTTTACCACCCTTGTAATATTAGGTGGTAGTTCTGTCAATGTATCATGAACCACCGTAAAAATAAGTTCTACGGTTCAGACGTGAAAAATGACGAACCAAGAAACAACTCAGATGAAAGTCATAAATAAGTTAGAAAACTTGAGGTATTTTACCACAAAAATTGTGCCATGTGTCCTTGGCAATATAAAAAACATTCTCACAATATTTTAGTACGTAGTGATCGTTCTCTTGTTCTCTAACCTTCATGACAACCAGTATAAATGACAGCTGTCAACATAGTACAAAGTTGGTACCATAGACGACCTGATAGCCCGGAAACACGTGACCAATTTTGACTTGTAATTGTGTAATGTATATTTTACATAAGAGGACTATCGAAAATGATGTTTAAGAAAGCGGTAAAATGATTAAAAAACTAGTTTTGTGCATGAAACTGAATGACTTCAAAAATTAACTGAATCTTTAACATGATATTCTTAAATAATAAAAACAAATTCACATAACATGTTCCCGAAAATAAGCAGCACCTACTTGCGTTTTGTTGGATTTTAATTCAAAGTGTTAAATCCCAATAATCTCTGAAGAGTGAGTCTACCGAATTTCCCCAAGAA